TCGTCATCATGCTCAAGTGATGGTGATAACGATGACGACGTCGTTATCAATCTTATCCAGTATTAATGCTGTTATGATTGAATAATTACTATTGAATAACTACAGCTATGTCTTATTATGCTTGTGTTTCCTGACAAAATGATTGAGTTTGACCACTGCGAGTCTCAAACCCGGCTTCAAGCCATCGAGTTCGTCGGGGTTCAGGTTCTGAAGGTTTGACCTTTCGAGCTTCGTGAGATGAAAGTAAACTGATTATGATTTAAAGGCTCAGCCTCAGGAGTGGAGGGCTGGAGGCCGTTATAAGGGTGTAGGGCACGCATTCAAAACCCATTAAACCCTAAACCATTGAACTCCAAACCAGGTCCTCTCCATTAAAAGCTGGAAAGAGCTTCATGTAACAGTCCCGATGAAGGGCCATTCAGCTTTTCCCAAGACTTCTTGTTCAGTCTAGTCTCGGTGATGTTAAGTGGTTTGGACCTTCTCAGTCATGGGAAACGGAGGATTAAGCAACTCACCGCCACTCCACCCGCACATACCACGCGAGCAAAACCTGTCCCACTTCTGGGTAGGAGGTCGGTAGTTAGGTAGACAGGCGGGCAAACAGGCAGCTAGTGGGTACGTGGGTGGGTAGACAGGCAGACAGGCAGGCAAATAGACGGACGGACCGGGCAAGACAGACGGACGGATAGACAGAGAGAGAGGGAAAGCAAAAAGCAACAAGGGAGCAGGCAAGATACATACTAGCCTTCACGTACGTGTATGTGTTATATGTATGTATGTATATATATATATATATATACACTAAATACATATGAACACATACATGCATCTTTTTGACTAGTTATTCGGCTGAACAATTAAGACTAAGAGGGAGGGAGAGAGGAAGACAGAGAGAGCGAGAGAGAGACAAGAGACAGAGTTACAGAGAGAGCGCGACGGGGACAGCGCGAGAGAGTTTCGCAAATACCCAAGACCCTGTAATTCCTAAATTTCCGGTCGCCTTGCCCCAATTCGCTGCCCAGGACAACTGGGCCTGCGGTAACAAGTTTTGACAGGTGGGAATTCGGGCCTACGGTTCAGGGATTTGTGAACTACTTGGCGATGATGGTACCATGTACATATCATTGTGTGGTGAGAGATTGCATCGCTCAGCTGGTCCTCCGCGTTGCTGGGCATGGAAGCAACCAGGGAAGAAAGTATAGACGAACATTTCATAATTGGTTCACTTTAGGTAACAGGTCCCAGAAAAGTATTCAAGTGTGGTACTCCAAAGCCCAGCTTGATCACACCGAGGAGCAGGCTCTCAAGCCTTCCCCTGCAACAGTCTGAAAAATGAAGCGCCGAAACTTGGAGGATGGGGAGGACGGAGCAGGTAGGGCGGGGAGAAGGGTGCCAATCGGTGCTGATATATATATATATATATATATATATATATATATATATATATATATACATATATATATATCTATATATATATATGTATATATATATATATATGTATATATATATATATACATAGATAGATACACTTTGGAGCTGTAGACTTGAGGTACATATCTCCAGTGTTTAAGGCCTTTCGGTCTAGGGTTGAGGGAACATCCGTTGGGCCCCACTTCCGACCTTAGCTCGCGAAGGCTCCCGATCCTCGAGGTACTTCATCCAGAAGCTTATAAACGGTTTAGGGTTTAGGGTTTAAGGTCTAGGGTTTAGGGTTCAAGGTTTAGGGTTTAAGGTTTAAGGATAAGGGTTTAAGGGACGAGTCCTGATGCTCTTGGACCCGGAAGCCCACAAGAGTATATCCAGCTCTGACGCACCCAGAAAAACAAGCCCCTCAGGCTCAATGCCTTAATATAACACCCCAATATGCACTCTGAATCGTGGGATCCTTAACCAGTTTTGGGAACCCCACAACACGGCATCCCAATTTCTGAGCCCGAAACCCTGAAACGACAAAACAACGAGTGCACCGAAGGATCAGAACCGTTTCCCCCCTAAAACTTGAGGCCCACAAGCCCCAAAAAGCCCTAAACCCTGAATCTCAAACCCTAACCCCTAACAACCCCCCTCGCAACACCTGACTTCGCGCCTCGAGATGCGGGGGCAACTGGAGCAAAACGGCGCGGGATCGATCTGATCCATGCAAATGCCTTGGAAAGTTGGGGCCTTCCTGAAGGACCAAATGACCCTTAAAAGTAGAGGCCCTATACCCATATACTGTGAATCCTTATGTGGTATATGAACCTGCAACCGTTTTAGGGTTCATTTCGTCCGTAAGGTTGGGTTTAGGGTTTAAAAATTGGGATTGAGGGCTTAGGATAAGCAAACATTGAGTCTATAGGCACACATCGTAAGTTGAAAGTCGATAGGTCGATAGGTAGATGAGGTGGATGGATAGATAGATAGGTAGCTATAATGGACAGATAGGTAGATAGATGAAAAAATAGATGGACAGACGGGCAGATAGAGAGCATGATAGATAAAGACATGACAAGATAGCGAGACAAAGAAAAAAGAAACAGCGACAGATAGATAGATGGATAGATTTTGATAGTCAGGTAAACAGATAAAGAGACCGACAGACTGGCAGGCAGACAGACAGACGGACAAACAGACCGACCGACAGACGGACGGGCACACGGGTCGACAGACAGACAAACATTCAGGAACCCTAAACCCTAAACCCTAAACCCTAAATCCTAAACCCAAACCCTAAACCCTAAACCCCGTTTCTGAGAACCCCAGAAAGACCCGTTACAACCGACCCAAAGGCCCCAAAGTAGTTCCTTTTTGGGGTTCATATATAGAACCCTATACGGCAATCCCAAAAAGGAACTACTTTGGGGCCTCTGGGTATAGCACCCCTACCAAACCTTGTATGATCCCCCCCTATAAACCGCTGCTCAACCCTCTTGTTTTTTATAGTCTCTTGGGGTTTCTATGAACAAGAACTTAACCAATATTTTTAGAATTCTCCTGGGTGTTATATGAACAAAAACTTAAAAAACTGAGCCAACATGCTTACTATTCTCTTGGGGCTTATATAAACAAAAACTTAGTTCCCAAGGAGACTATATACCCTGAACCCTAAACCCTTAACCTTTAAACCCCCAAACCCTAACTAGGATACCCAGTAACCGAAGAATAAAAAGGCCTCTCTTTTTGGTATTGGGTAACTTTATAAGGAACCTAGGACTAGAAAAAGGGAATAAGGGTACTACTGGGCATCCTAGCTAAACGTTCCTAAGGAGACTTTAGTTGCCAGCTTTAGCGACTGTAGCAGCGCAATGGCAGTGACCTGCACAGAGCTTTCGCTACTGTAGGGGCCTTAATTTTCAGAACAGAGTTCCTAGGGTTCCTGTAAAGGGATCTATGATCTGTATAAGGCCTACTATAAGGGCTACTATAAGGATCTGTAGGGCCCGTAATCATTAGAATAGGTAATAAGGAAGCCCCAAAGTAGTATAGGTGATTATTACGGCCCCTATATTACTCGCGGGGTTCTGGCTTACGGTCTTGGGGCCCCTGCTTGGGAGTGAAGGGCTCTGGGATGTTGTTGTGTTGGTGTTTGGAGCTTTGAAGAGCCTGGGTGTTCGGAGTGTAGGGTTTCGAAGGGCGAGATACCTAGAGGGTCATACCCTACCCCTTTTTTAGGGTACCTAGCTTTATGGTTAGGATCTCCTATATAGAAAAGTAGGTACCTTAAAAAAGGGTAGGTTATGAGCCTATAGATAAGTTACAGGTACGTGGGCACCCAGCTGCTTCGTACATACAGGTCTGCTGCGGATCTAGGTAGTGTAGGGGCTTAACAATAAGAACGAGGTTTTGGGGCTCATCATACCATACTTATAACAAGGAACCCCCAAAATAGCAATATAGAGCCCTACTATATATCACAAAATATGAAACGCCCTAAACTGAGACCACAGCATGATTTGGGTAGCTCTCCAGAAATTAAGGTTCCTTTTGGGGGTCCCTTTTATGAGGATGCCACATTATTTTGGGGACCTGAAAAGAAAGGGACCTTTATTTAGAGAACTACCATTAGGGTACCCCAAAAACTCGACATGGTATCGCTTCGGGACCGGAGCCCATAGCATTACGAGTTCCCTGTATCTCAGACAGTTTCCTGGATCTCAGACAGCTTTGCGCTATCGGGCCTTAGCAAAGTTCAATGGGGTTTGGGGGTGAGGGGAGGAAGGGGGAGACCGTAGATGCTCGAAATACCAAACCTTAACTCCAAGGGCAGAAGGAGGGACCCTTAATGGGGATCCTCAGCTACCCTATGACAGGCTATATGACTAAGCTTTATGCACCGAGGGGTCATTACGAAGGGTCCCTGCTGTTGTCCTTGGAGTAACCCAATCCCCTGAACTCCAAGCCCCTTGTGCTGCACGGGCCTCCTCGACACCGGCTGGAACGGCATTCTTCTGAGTCATCTGGCGCCTTTCACGATGCCACAGCCGCGGGATTGGGGCTAAGCGTTCAGGGACAAAAGAGCTCAGCTTTTATATTTGAGCTGATCCCTCTAGACTCTAGATACACAGAAACCCCAAATCCGTGAATCTTGAACCCAAAGCCCTAAGTCCAAAAGACCCTGCAGTACTGCCCGCTGACCTTCTTTTGTGAGGGGAGCCGGTCCCTCTTACGCGACTAATTATAGACCCTAAACCACCATCAACCTAAACCACGCTAAACCCGAAAGCCTCAGAGATTCCAGTAACTTAGGGTTTAGGGTTTCGGGGTTTAGGGGTTTAGGGTTCAGGGTTTGGCTGCCACCCTAAACCCCAAACCGCATAGAAGAATTATATTACAACCACATGAATAGCAATACAACCACTGATAATCACAGTAATGAACGTCGTAATTACCGTTAACGTAATGCTAGCACCAACCGAACCATAATAAACATGGTAACAGTGTTATGAATATTCTCATAGTAACAATAACCCAAACCCCAACTGCTCTCAGTGCTGCTAGGAGTCTCGAAGTTGATGGGGTCATCACCACTCCACCAGCTGTCGCTGCCCATCGGCCCATTTATTGGACCTCGAGGGGTTTATGGGTTTAGGGATTAGGGTTTAGGGTTCGTTCTACGGCTCACAAAGCCCTAAACCCTAGACCCTGAACCCTAAACCCTGAACCCTAAACCCCTAAAGGCTTAGGATACTCTTCGGATACCAGGCTTTTCGGCGAAAGGGCTGGTGCTGTCGGACCTGTCTGTAATATACGGCTCGGAAACATTGCCAATAGCACTCTTCGAAAGTTCTGTAATCAATCCCAAAAAAGCTGAACTCATTGCTGACGCCCCTTTAAACCTGAAACCTCAAACCCCCCTATGTTGAGATTCCGGGTGTGCGACCCTACAGTTCGTGCAGGCTTGGGGAAGCAGACATATAAATGTACTACCACTGTGATTCATCTACCCCAACACCTTACTCTGAGTCATTTATTCGGGCCCCTATGAGGAAATTGGGGCGCGAGGCTGAGAAACTGGAGCGGAGGGCTCGCCACTACCCTTAACCTTGGTCTAACCATCATAAAAGCCCCTATATCAAATCCTGAATCATACAGCATGCACCCCTCTACCCCGAAACCCTAAACACTGACCCCAAAGAAGCCCGGTTGCTGCCCAAGTCCATGGTCTGGAGCACGTTCTGTCCTGCTGTCTACTAGCCTTTCGAGCTTGGTCTTCAGAGTGAGTGTTGGGAACATCAGGAAGCATCTTAGCTTTATACAAGATGCATTTAGCCATAATATGTACGCATACAGACATATATACGTGTGTACATGCATGCATACATGTGTACATATGTGTATGTGCATACAGAGGCATACACATACATCCATACATGCCTACGCACATACATGTATACATGTATACGTGTATCCATCCATCCATGCATCCATCCACCCACCTATGCATACATGCATTACATTCATGGCGACCATCCATAAATACATACATGCATGCATGCATACATAGGCATGCAGGCATGCATACATGCATGCATACTTAACCGTGTGTCTGTGTATGTATACATATATATATATATATATGTATGTATATGTATATGTATATGTATATGTATAAATATATGTATACATATATATGTATGTATATGTATATGTAGATGTATAAATATATGTGTATATATATAATATAATATAATATATATATATATATATATATATATATATATATATATATATATATTTATATTTATATTTGTGCACACATGCAACACACATACATGCATGCATACATACAGAGAGACATGCAGACACAGAGAGAGAGAGAGAGAGAGAGAGAGAGAGAGATGGCGGCATATGCATCTACATATACATACATACATACATACATGCATACATACATACATTTTTTTGCATTTGAATGCATTCAGTGGTGTCCGCTGCCTAATTAACATGCGTCGTCCTCCCTAAATGGCAGAAACGGTGCTGCCAGGGAGTTCTCCCAGAAGCTCTTTGGGGCCTTCAGTCTTGGCCACTCACCTTTCATGAGGGCATTCCAGACGGCCTTCAGCTCCTGCGGGAGCAAAAGCAAGGGGTCTTTGACCACGACTGCGCTGATCTCGCCGCTGCATGTCTGATGCCACGCAGTTTCCCAACTATCAGACAAGCTGTACAGCGGCGATTTCTGGGTCCCGTTGTCACCCCATAGTCGCAAGTATGCCGACATCCAGTCGAAACTCGCTACTGCGGCACAGAACGTTGCCCTTGAGGAAAGGCGTTGGGTCTCTCGCTGAGTCCTCGAAGTTCTGCCAAAGCCATTTTGTTCGTAGTGGAGCAGCCCAGCCTGCATTGCAGTAAACTGTTCCTTACTCCATTGCTGTAACTCGTGATCCGCATGGATCATCTCGATCTCCTCACGCAAGTGCTGCGTAACTTCACAGATCTCGTCGTAGAAGAGGGGGTGGCGCCTCAGCTGTTGCTCGATTTGCTCCTCGATCTCTTCCACCACGAAGTCCTCAAGAAGGGTATCGCAGAGCCTCTCGTGCAGTTGGCACTGCCAGGTATTCCACTGCCGCCCCTCCGACTCTCTGCCGTCATGGCTACCCACAACGCTCATCGTCGGCGGGGCTGGCGTATACTGGTCGGCCTCAGTTTTCCTCCTCCCACGGCTACCGTAGCCTGGGGGTGCCTGTGCCAGAGGTTTCTGCTCTCGCTGTAGTACTCGCACACACTTTCGAGTAGCCCGGAGGTGGTCCTCCAGCCGCCCTGGGGTGTGGAAGTTTTTCCCACAGCTCTTGCATGTAGTGCCTTGCAAGAAGAACCTGTACTCAGCTTTGCGGCCGTGTACCCCGAAGAAGTGGACACTGAGCGCCGATTTCTTCCCAAAGCTTTTGTCGCAGATGCCGCATGTCCAGGGCTGCAGCGGCTCCTCCGCACAAGTCTCTGGGGGAAGCTGACGGTACATGTACCAATGGCACACATCACTCGCAGCTCGTCGCTTGTAGTACTGGAAGTCCCGCTCATTGGCCTTACGCACGCGTCGCTTGACCATCTCCGGTCGGGACCGTAGGAGGTGCCACCACTGCGGCCACGCCGCCGCCTCAACTCGCGGCCACTGGTCTTCTTCTCCCTGCGTGAGCCAGAGCAGGTCACGTCGGGCTTGTGCACACCAGTCTGTTTCGTTTTGCAGCATGGCCCAGAGGACTGGTGGGCCCTTCTTAGCAAGCGAAACAATGGCAGACAATCGACTGCGCCGTGCAAACATCCCCAATGGCCAACAATCCGTCGCCCAGTGAGCTAGTGGGAGGGGAACTCGGAATAAATCTTCCCCAGGGATGTCGCGGCAAAGGAGTCGTCGGACCAGCCGTGAGAAGGCATCGCAGAGCTGCTCCCAATGTTTCCCCTCCGCTATCCATACCTCAAGGTTGTAGTAAGAAGGGACCACTGCTGCCTGGAAGAGCAGTGCTCTGGTACTCAAAGACAGGTCCCTGTTTTGAAGCAGCAGGTCCTTGGCCTTCTCATACGCCGCCGCTGCCAACGCAGTGCGGTGGCGGGCCTCAAGGTGGAGCCGGGCTTCAATGTCGAGAACACATCCCAAGTGCTTGTAGGACGGGACGACCGGAATGCCTTCGCCCAGGTCCGGAAGGACCAACTCAGGCTTGCCAGAGCCAAAGTACTCACGCCTTGCCTTCTTGGCCCCAGGGCCTCTGACCTTTATCATAGCACTGGTCTTGTGTCTTTTGAGGTTGGGGTCGAGCCCATGGGAGCGAAAGGCAGATAGAATCAGTGATCCGACCCGGCTGGCTCGGCTCAGAAGTTCACCCGGTGTGTCCGCCTGCAGGGCATACGCACTGTCGTCAGCCCAAGTGGTGTCAAAGGCCGATTGCCATTGATCACCCGGCTGATCAGTAAAGATCCCCTGCTCCTGGTTCCACGGCAATGAAAAATTTATCTGCTCGCCTTCCATGCACTCGTGGACTCTGTAGAGTATGCGGGCATATATCACAGCGAACACCGTGTCAGCCCATGATGCTCCCGGTCTTGATCCCGCTGTAGAGCGGCAAATAGCGCTCCCGTCCGTGAAGCGGGAGGTAAACCAGGAGTCGCGATGGAAATCGCGGACAGCCGCCCGGATCGGTCCGTCAATCTCCGCCATTTGCAGCATGCCCCCGTCGAGGATGAGGTCCCGGAGCTCGGTCATATCCTCGCCGTCCAGGCCAAATCGATGGAAAAGTCGTTCGACATTGGCATCAATCTCCAAATCACCTGTAGCTAGCTGTCGCACCAACCTGTAGTAGGCAGCTTTTGTGTCGACATAGATCACTGCCGTGCTCAGGCCTTGTTGGAGGCATCGGCGCAGGTGCTCAACAACAAACAGGGAGGGGAAGAGAACAGGCATGCCTTGTCGGCTTCCACAATGTAATGGATGCAGGAAAGCATCGAGTTGATCCCGCACCTTACCCCGCATCACACGGTGCAGGGATTTGCCAATGAAGCTTGAAATATACAAGCTTCGATGGCTGGAAACGTCGCATTGGGCTCCAGCACCCTTGTAGGCCTCGAACAAAACTCCTCCTCGCCACTGAAGCGGTTGTCGCCCTCCTAGGAGGGCTTTCACATACAGGGGTTGTATCATCCTGGCGAAGTCGCTCGGGCTACATCGCAGTGCATCGCTCGGAACTCCATCCAAACCTGCACATTTGTTGCGGGCAGTCGTTCGCAGCACCTCCTCAATCTCGACAGTGCTCGGGAGATGTTTCCACTGCCAGTCATCTCGGACTTCATCTTCACTGGCCTGGGCCTCCCGGATGAACCGGGTGGTGGGCAGGATGTGTCCAACTTCCTGCTCACCAAAGAACTGGAGCCATACCGTGTCACGTTCAGCCACGCATGTGGTTTCCTCCCCGGTCCTAGGATTCATGAGCTTCGGCAGGGACCTTCCAACCATTTGGCGGGCCTTGCTGCCCAATCCCGCCTTCTTAGCCCGCTGTAGGATGGACGCCACATCGGTGGGCCCCGTAGCTGCCAGTCCGCGCAGAAATTGGTCCTTCGCCGCAGCAATCATCTTACGGATCTTGTCCGTGGCAAGGCGAACCGCCCCGGCCACAAGGTCGTAGAGGAGGGCTTGCTTTTTGAGACGGGCGACGAAGGGGGTCGGGTCATCCTCCTTCCAAGCATGTACAGCGGCTCGAAGCAGACCACGCCACAGTCCGCGTCGATGCCTGGTTCGCCACCGTAGTTGACCCTTTCGTCGTCTGATCGCCCACACCTCGCTCGGGATGTAGGAGGCTCTTCCGGGCTGTTCCGGTTTGGGGAAGTAGGTCTCCAGGGTCTGCTTCAAGTGTACTTCTACCCTGTGGCAGTGTTCATCCGGGTGAACTTCCCACGCTGGCTGTTGGAATGCACGACAGGCCTGGCTCATTAGTCTCCTCCCCTCCGCCGTGTTCATCTTGTCGAGGTCATAGCGTGGGCGCTTGAGGCGCCCGCGTGGGTGTCCAACACACAGTTCTCCTTGGAGTTCAACCGCGACAGCTCGATGATCATCATTCGGACTGCCGTTGTCCATCCCTTGGTCAACAGAGCTCCGAGCCCTGGAGACATGGGCAGTACCACCCAAGAGCAGGTAGTCAATACGGCTCTCAAGGCCTGTGTGGTGGACATGGGTGGCCGACTCTCCCACGTGGATACTTGCGTATGTGGACGGTGCCCAGACTCCACAATCCTGGAAGATCTGGGCAGCCTGTTCCCCCTGGGCATCCGGGTCCTGGAATTCCAGGTCTCCGCTCACGTTGGGGTAGTTCAGCGGGAGTCTGCCGTTGAGGTCAACTCCCACCAAGAGCAGCTGGACCTTCTTGAGGCTAGCCAAGTGCCGGGTCAGGAGCTCCAGGAAGTCGCTGCGCTCCTTCGGCTTCGTGGCATGTGGACAGTGGGCTGCCACAATCCCAATCTTAGCTTGTCCAATCTTGCTCACAACCACCAAGAGCCTGGGCGTAGCACAGACCACAGTGGTGTTGGCCTCCTCCGGGTGGACTGCATGACCATTAAGCTCCATGATGCCTTTGGTCTTGCTGAGCCATATGGCTGTGCCCCAATGACGCTGTGCGTCAGATGCCAAGCGGTAGTATCGCTGGCTTTGGCACTGTCCACCTCCCGTCTTAGTCTCCTGCATCATCACCACATTGTACTCCGCGCTTTCAAATTGTTCCTCCATGTAGCGGAAGTTGCCGCCCAGGCCTTGAACGTTGAAAGTACAGGCCTTGAGGTAGAAAGCGCTGCTGTGGTTGGGGGCAGCAGATTGCTGCGTCATCTCAGTAGGGATGAGCTGTTCAGGCTGTAGAAGGGGGGGCTGTCTTGGCATTTCCGACCAACACAGATTGCCGTCATAGACTTGGGCTCCCCCATTCTTTCTGGCCGCCATCTCAAAACCGAGCCAATCTAGATTGGTGTCGAGGAGTGCTCTGCATGTAGCTTCCGGTGGTTCAGCAAAGGAGCGCTGACCTCTTGAGGCACTTTTTGCAACAGCATCCGCGAGCTCATTCCATCCATCTCCAGAGTGGCCCTTCACATGCGCAATCTGGACCGTAACCCCCTCCAGCTCGCGTAGGGCTAGTTCAAGATTGTGCACCTGTACGGAGAGGGCATCCACCGGAGACCAGCTTCCATCCGCCGCCCTGCCCGCAGCAAGGCAGTCCACATGTAGAAGACAGTCAATCCGTGGTAGTAGGGCCCGTGCTTGTAGAGCCCAAAGTAGGGCTGCCGCTACAGCCACTTGCTCCGCAGTAAGGGCCGCCGGGCCTGCAAGGGGCCACTGCGAGGCCGGTTTGCCCAACAATTGGCCACCGAGGAGTCCGAAGATGGCAAAGGCTGTTCCGAGCTTGAGCAGGATAACAGCCGAGTAACCACTGATTCCTTCCTTTTCATTTGCAGATCCATCCGTGTAAATATGGATCTGCGGAGCTTCATGGCTCTCATCCATCAAGAGCTGTTGCCAAGGGCAGGCCTGCCGTACTGCCATCTCGGCCTCAGCATTCATGTCAATGCCCTCGAGGTTCCACTGTAGCCATTCACCAGACCATGGACAGAATAGCGGCCAGATATCATCAACTCGATGTGGCAGTGGAAGGCTGATCCGTGTGAGGTCATAGTTGGGGCCGTCAATATGGTCATGGAGACGTAGAAGACAGGGTGCATCAGGAACGTTAGTACACGCCTCGTCAGACTCATGGTCCCCATGTCTTCTGGGCGAGCGGCTTCGGTCCGGTGGGGCATTGACCGGTCTAGGCCGGGGTGGGCCTCTTGGCGGTCCATTTTGGTCATGGGGGCTGGGCGTCGTGAGGTCGTCGGAGTCGGGCATCGCATCAAAGGTGCTGCTCGAGTCAGACCCATCATCTCCTCCGTCGCCAGCGTCCCCTCCATCGCCACCAGAGGATTCCTCTGACTCTGCATTCTCCGCCGAGTCATCCTTGGCCAAAAATAGGTGTAGCACTTCCCCGTCAGCCACATCAATATTTTCGCCATCGTCTCTGGGGTTTCCTCCCTGCACAAGCAAGGTCCATCCCGGTAGTGGCGGCAGGTCCAGAGTTTCATAGAAGTCGACCGGCTTGAAGACTGTGCCCTCTAGCTGTAGCCACTGTGGAAACAAGGCCAGCCCCCGGATGTCGGCGAAGATCACCGGGGCATTGTGTCCATGTTGCTCCCACCCATCCAAGACAGCAACCTGGCCCCAAACTCTACGCCCCATATGTGCTAAGTCCAGGAGGCGCTCATTGGGCACTTTTACCCACACGTCCCCGTGCTCGTAGCGCAGGGCTTCTTCCGCCGACACTTCTAAGGGTCTCTCGTCGTCAGATGCAATCTCCTCCAACACCTGATCATCCGCCGCTTGGTAGACCATGTGGAGCCCATCCAGGGGTCCCGGTAGTACCGCCTCTGGGCTCCAACGCCGTGGGTCCTGAAGACGGTTGGCCACCTCGTCTTTCCATCTGGGCGCCGCATGTGGCCTCATGATTTTTATGAGGGTGCCAGGTAGCACATGATACTCGTGTCCGGTTCGCATGGGGCGGTCATGGCCCCCAAGGAAGGCCCGAAGCCCAGCCGGCCATCCTTCCACCAAGTGCATCAAGACTCTTTCCCTCGTCGTTGGGTTCGGGACATAGGCCGCAAAAGTCCCGCCCCCAATGTCCGTGGCATCAATGAGTAATGTCACACGCTCTGTGTCTTTGAGCCACTTGGGGTAGGCAATGTAGCTCACATAGCCCTCGCCAAGTTGTGGGATGGTCGGGACAAACTCCATTTCATAATCTTTGTCCCGATTGCTAGTTTGCTGCACCGCCTCCTGAAGCTGGGCCAAAGTCGTGGGTATGCGGAGGTGGAAGTCGATGGTCTCCGCTTCGTAGTACGGGGCTGCTATCCATGCGGTGGCATGGACCGTAGCGATGTCGACAACGTTGGCATCAAACTCCGGTGGCTCAGCCGGCACCTCATATCGGGGGTCATGTGCTTCTGCCCAGTTGTGCTCAAGGGGCAGTTCTTGTATGCATCTGGCCATGGCTGCCGCAAGCTGTTCACTCGGCGGGCTTTGTCCGGCCATCCAAAAGTCTATGTCGCTTCTGGGTCCAAGGCCAATAGGACCATTCCCTCGGAGCTTCAGACTTGGTCCGGCAGCTACCGGTTTGATCTGCCATACAAGTCCGATAGCCAGACAAATTCTGGCTGAAATTCGTCCATGCCGCCGTCTGTTCCCAGATCGTGGTCCTAGGAAGGCAGCCATAGCAAGGGTGCTGACAGCCATGATCGTCAACCCAAGTCCTGCCGCCTGTTCCTGGGCCCCAATGGCCCCTTGGAGGAGGTAGAGCAGGAAATTCTCCGTCACAAACTTTATCACCTCCATGATGTCCCGCACTTCATGTTGCCATCGGTCGTGGCCTCCCGTAGGGCCGTGCCGGGTTTGTCCAGACGTAGTCATCGTCCGCCCTCTTGGTGCCATTCCCAAACAGCACCATCGATCACCAAAACTGTTGGAGCTCCCAACAGCAAAATGCTGTAGGTGACCCTGGCTTATAGATGCGGACATGCCGAAAAAGCCGCACATGCCAGGGGGCTCCTTGTCCAGGAGGACTACTCCTCCTCCTCGACTCCATTGGCCCGGGGCGCCGTAATGGGGTCGTCCTCGTCGTCGTCCTCCACCAGGTTGACTCTCATCATGCTTTGCTCTGCCAGGGCATTTGCACGCTTTTCCTCCAGCTTGTCCGTGAGGGATGCGTGTTTGCCCGTCTTGACCGGCCCATTGGTGTGAGCTTTCACCGACACTCTCGGGCCGCTGGTGTGCGATCGGGAGCGAGATCTGATCGTCGGCATTGGCGCTCCGGTTGTCGACGGCGAGGTTTGGTAGGGATCTTGCCCAGCTGGTGTCTCGCCTCCACTGTACGTGGCGGCTCCATTGTCTCCATGGCCACTGGGTAGGGCAGACTTCTCGGTAGCTGGAGGAGAGATCGGTGGTGGCTGGTGGGGCTTCCTTGGCGGGGTCTTGTCGGCTGGTTGCTCCCTCGCCAGACTCAATGCTCCGAGGAGCTGCTGTCTGGCCGCCGCTTGGAGCTCCCGCCCACCAACTGCTGCCCCTGCCAACAGTTCGGGGAGAGCTGCCCATGGATCGGCTGGCTCTGCCATGAGCTCGTCCCACTCCGCATCTGCCTCCACATCGACCGCCGGCTCCTCCCTGGGTCGCCTCAGTTGTCCAGGGTTGGCCACCATCTCCTGGAGCTCTTGGAGCGCACCGTCTTTGAGCTTCATGTGCTCCGCTTGCTCGGTCTTGACCTTGTCGAGGCGCTCGTGGAACTTCTGCCGCTCCTGGATGAAGGACTGTTTGAGGTTCTTTTGATAGGTCTCCCACTTGGCCTGTGCCTCGTCCTTCTCCATCTCGCAACGTCTGAGCTTGCTGTCTGACCTTCGTAGTGTATTCAGCAGCTTCTGTACGTATCGGGCCAACTCGCCCGTCGCACCTTCCAGGATGGGCTCTTGGTCCGGCTGGGCCTTGCCACCAGTCTTGGCCCCACCCTTGCCCTGCTTTCCTCCCTTCACAGCCATCGCCTCGTAGGACGGGAAAGCTGGTTGGGGCGGCTGGGCTCGCTCGGGTTTGTGCTCCTTGCCCTGCTTCTTCCCTGCTCCTTTGCCATGTGTCCAATCGCCACGGCCCTGGGATACTCCAGGCTGCGACCAGTAGGCAGAGTCGTAGCCATAGTCGTGGTCCTTTCTGGAGGTTGAATCCCATCCTCCACGCTTGCCCATACGTACTCGCAACTCTTTGTAGACTGGGCTGCTGTGGTGCTTGGCCAGATATCTGAGATCTGCCAGGGAGGGCTCCAGACACCTGGAGCGGGCGAGCCGGATCCGCGATCGGGCCGCAGCACGCTTACGCCTTGCTCGGCGGTGCCAGCAAGGTGAGTTTGCGTGGATGCCTATGGCTCTGATGTGCTCCTTGGCACGTGGGGCTTGGCTATACACCTTCACGGGGTGCTCGATCCGAAACCCTACATACATACATACATACATAAACTTGCAGATGGATTCCCACGCACCTACATTATAGCTATAGCCGTTCTGGACAGCGAGTAAAGTAGGTTGATGAATAGTTGTGTATGTAATCCTTACGAAGGGAAGAGCTTTAGTAATCACGGCTCTGCATTATGAAGAAGCAGAGTCTGCGCATGCGGGTGGCTTTCATTTCAATTTCAATCCGGTGGTCCGGACTGGATCTCCCTGTTTCAGGGAACTTTCTGCTTACGACCTTGCTACAACCAAAAGCTTCAGAAACAGGACCCACCGATTCAATCGGTTGACCGCCGACCCCACAGGACCCTGCACCCCAAATCGGCCAAATTCCCGAAAAAACTGCGCCAAAACCCCCCGGTCCCATCTCTCTGTTCATGGAGGGCGGAACGTCCGGCAGGCCGTCTGCAATGCACAGGAAGCCTGTCAGTGCCTCAATCTTCCACGACAACAGCGACCACTGGTTTAAAATTTTAAGTTACTCTCATTATTATCATTGCTGGTTGTGGTATCCTGATATGTTCTGATACTAGTCGATGCCAGCGACGGCTCATGCGCGATCCAGTTCTCATTACAAACGTCAGAGAGGCTTAGCCTTGGGGCTTAGAGCTCCCTAAACCCTAAACCCTAAACCCTTAACCCTAAACCCTAAACCCAATTTGTGGGCTGAGGGGGCTTTAGGATCCAGGGTGCTGGATTGTGTTCTTCCCGTTCGGCGGGGACACGAAGGCCATGTTAGCTGTGATCTTCGGTTTAGGGTTTAGGGTTTAGGGATCTGGTTGCGCACTAACAAGTTCCGGTCTGGTCTCAAAATGTAGGAACCTGATTAAGAAACCTTGGGCCTTGACAAGGGTTCCTTGTATGAACCCTACTATATTAGGGGTTATAGGCCCAGGGTTCAAACCTTATCCCAAACCACAATGAAGACCCACCTTCCCCCCCCCCCCCCCCCCCCCCCCCCCCCCCCCCCCCCCCCCCCCCCCCCCCCGAATCTTATCCCCAGGCTCCAAACCCCAACAGAAAGCTTGCAAAACCTTGTCGAACCCTCGGCACAAACCTGTACGAAAGGAGCCTCGAGGGCTTTCAGAAGCCTCTTCAAGACGCCCCAAAAGAACCCCCAAAAGGAACATACCCTAGTTATAGTAGGATCCCGAATATGATGAATGATGAACGGCATTTATTCCTTAATTCAGGGATTAGAGCAACATATTCTGGGAACCTTCTTGTTAGAGCCCTCATATGTACGCAAGAACCGACGACCCCGCGGCTGCCGTCGAAAGTGCGAGTTTTCTGACCGACCACAGCGCCAGGGTGTTCCAGGGAGAGCTGCGGCCATCGAGAATTTGCTCTCCTGTGCTTTATGGTTTAGGGCTCAGTGCGCTCAGGTCTACTTAGGGGATCATGGGACTTAGTACCTAGGGCTATAAGTAAGGTAACTATACTTATAACTACTTAAAAACCCCAACTGAGGTACTTATAACCTTACTTACTAAGTCCCATGATCCTCCGAGGTAAGGGCTTAAGGTGTAGTTTTCTTGGTAATGTTCAGGCTTCGGATTTAGAAGCTTTCGGGTTCAGGGGTCCAGTGAAGCGAAGCTCCACGCCCCTTAAACAAAGCGACTAGAGTGTTTAGAGTTTGGGTTTAAGTTTAGGGTGTATGGGGGTTTAAGGTTTAAGTTTAGGGTTTATAAAGGTTTAAGTATCATGTTAGGGCTTCAGAATGCGAGCCCCCAGTATTATCCAAGCTCAGGAGATGCACCACCCAACAGGGCCACCGGAGGGAGCTAAACGAACGGTCCCTGAGGCTTTTCCTTCCTTCTTGCACACCTTTGCAAAGGCATGTAATATAGGGGCCTTAATAGTCTGAATGAGGTTTGGGGGGTATTTTATACTATATCTATAATAAGGAACCCCTACAATAGTATAAGTAACTCTTTAGGCCCCTATACTCTGTTTGGAAAGGGGACCTTGAACATCATTGAACTGAATTAGGGCCCTCGCCCGGCAACCCCAGATTTGCCAACACGTAGTTGTTGCAGCTGTTGCCCTGGATGTGGTACTTGCCCGGACCGAATCGGTCCTGCACCAGCGCACTTCGAATCCAGTCGAGATCGGTATCTATCATGCCGATCTTGACCGCCGACGTGAACACGCCGTGTGTGCGGACGCCGAGCAAGAGTCCTGCCTGGGCGTACGAGACGGTCACGTGGCCGGCGGTGACGGCATGTCTGCTTCCGTGATGACGATGGCCGAATGCAACGGAGCATCCCAGAGGGCAGGCAGCTGGTGCCAGGTAACGTAGACGTCATGAAGATGACTTCATAGTCAGACTCCAAAGCTGCCGGTCCGCTAAACCGACATGGGAGTTTCCGAAAATAGGGGGCCCTAATATGCTACCCTAAATAGTAGTATGGCCCCTTTTGTGCACCCGAAATATTAGGTGCCGTATTAGAATAGGGACCCAAAAAGGGACTCCAGTTCTGACAACCACCCACATGTACCCCTGCACGGGAGGCCCCCCGCAGAGCCACCGAGGCCCGGAGTCCCAGAGACGCCATGAAAACGTCTCTGCAAGACCCGGAGCTCCGAACCCGAAGCTGCAACAACCTAAACCCTCAATCCTAAATCCTAAAAACCCGAACCATAAAGACAACTGACAACACTGCACCCCTACTTGCAAGCAACCTTTGCAAAACACCCTCAACAAGTCCACACATAACTACGATCACTTGGATACCAAAGCAACACGTCCTGGGCGGAAGTTGTGGCCCTCGAAGACGGGCCCGACCACCAAGCAGTCCGAACCGTGGTGATCCAGCACCCTCTGAAGGACATCGCCTGGAGTGTTCGGTTTAGAGTGTAGGATTTAGGATTAAGCTTGGAAAGTTGCCCAAGGGTACAACATGCCGCCAGAACTTGGGTACTTGGATTTGGGCTCGTGGTTTTCTGGGTTAGCAATGTGGGAGTATGGCAGTATTACGCCAAGGTTGACGGATCTGGTGAGTTGGGGACGTCTTCAGGAAAACAGACGGCTCAGAGCTTGGGCTCATCCCGAGCGTGTGTTGAGGGACTTCGCTAACCTGGCCGGCATCATCGAAACGTCTACCCATAGGCCCCAAAGTAGTTCCTTTTTGGGATTACCCTATAGGATTCTATATACGAACCCCAAAAAGGAACTACTTTGGGGCCTTTGGGTAACACCAAAACAAAACTTGACGCACGTATAGGACGCGATTGTCAATAATTGTGGGACGCCGCATATACGGATTTAAACGGAAGTTGTTGGAGCCACGGGTGCTTGGAAGATAGGGGCTTGCGAAGAAGGATTGATGATACTGATACCCCTGGGGTAATGTCTGGCTGACCCTGACAAAACCTTAAGTGCAGAGGCGAGTCAATAACTGTAACTCCGAGTGCCCGAATGCTATGAACCCCGAAGGCACGCACTACGTAGAGGGTCATGCCCTACCCCTTTTTTTGGATAGCTGGTTTTAAGGTTAGGACCTCCTATATAGAAAAGTAGGAACCTTAAAAAAGGGGTAGGGTTATCCCTATAGGTACTGCCCAAACCACAGATCATCGATCCCATATGCTTCAAGGAAAACAACGCCGAACTCCTGAAGGCAAGGCTGCAATACCCCTCAAATGCTGCTGCTAGCACTGCAGGTTGCTGCAAGTTGCTGCGTGCTGCAACCCGGCACACAAAGACTCTGACGACTACAAAGAGAAAATTATAACACGTGCATGACGACTCTTCCTAAAGAGGGCTGCGCTGATCGATGATGATTCCGTTCAGCTCATGATGAATCGTCCTAATAACCCCAATAAATTGAGGTACTTCGGTTGATGATATAAATCCTGCATTACCTTAAGGACCCTAAACTATGGGAGTTATGGTATATTCCTTATTATGGGTCGTGCAGGATTTATATCATCAACCGTTATAAACTTACTAAGTCCCATGATCCTCCAAGTGCGGCCCTGATCTGAGAGGGCGGCGAGTGCAACAGACCTCAAGAGACTGGTACAAGATGTACTTGGCCCCCTTTCCTCGAAGCTTCGGGCTTAGGGTTTAGGGTTTAGGGGTTGAGGGTTGAGGGTTTAGGGGTTTAGGGTTTATCAAGCTTCAGTGATGGGAGGCCAAAAGGGGGGAGTTTAAGATTCTTGGGGTAGGGATTCCTTAATATGAACCCTAGTATGGGAAACCTAATCCCTACTAGACCCTCATAGGCTGAAACCCCATTTGGCCTCCTACGATTCAGATGTCCAGCATCCCAGGGGAACTAAAGGTTTGCCTTGGGGAGTATAGTATAGGGGGTTCTAGTAGCCCAAAGAAGTTCAAGGTTAGCTAGTCTACTACTACGTTCAGGTTTGGGAGCTCAGGGATCGGGGCTCGCCAAAGGAGGTCAGCGCACTTACGAGATCAGTTCATGTCAGTTCGCCAGTGTGTAGCCCTGTTGGGAAAAGGTGATGCTCTTCGCTTGTGATACCCTAAACCCTGAACCCTGAACCCTAAACCCTAAACCCTAAAACCTAAACCCTAAACCCTAAACCCTAAACCCTAAACCCTAAACTCGAGGCGCTCGCCGTCGGGCCTTGTGGCCCGACGCTGCGACCCCTTCGCCCAAGTGGGACCATGGCATTCGCACATACAGTACGCCTGTACAGCAATTGAGTTGTGCCATCAAGCATTCAGCTGTGCCACCACTAAGTCAGTGGGTCGACGACAGTACTGTCCTAAATTATATACATATATTAAAGATATACCCCAAACCCTGCGCAGGAGGGGCGCGAAAGGGGCGCGAAACTCTGTACGTTTAAAGTTTAGAGGGTCAAAACTCTGTACGTTTAAAGTTTAGAGGCTCGAAACTCTATACGTATAGAGTTTAGCGTATAAGGTTTCGGAATGTATAGAGTTTCGCGTATAAGGTTTCGGACCGTATAGGGTTTCGCGTACAAGGTTTCGGAATGTATAGAATTTCGCGTATAAGGTTTCGGACCATATAGAGTTTCGCGTATAAGGTTTCGGACCGTATAGAGTTTCGCGTATAAGGTTTCGGACCGTATAGAGTTTCGCCTATAAGATTTGGGCACCTGCGTGTCTAAACTTTATACGTTTAAGATTCAGAAAATTCGGTTTTTGGGAAGCGATTTTCTGATGATAAATTCTCTTCATAAAAGTGCTGTTTTATAAGAGCCAATGGCCATTCATGGGGTCCCCCCCATTCCGGGTCCGAAACTCTATTCCGAAACCTTGTTCGTTTAAGATTTAAGACTGTAAGGCTCGAAACTTTATACGTATAGAGTTTAGTGTATAAGGTTTCGGAATGTATAGAGTTTCGCGTATAAGGTTTCGGACCGTATAGGGTTTCGCGTATAAGGTTTCGGAATGTATAGAATTTCGCGTATAAAGTTTCGGACCGTACAGAGTTTCGCGTATAAGGTTTCGGACCGTATAGAGTTTCGCGTATAAGGTTTCGGACCGTATAGAGTTTCGCCTATAAGTTTTGGGCACCTGCGTGTCTAAACTTTATACGTTTAAGATTCAGAAAATTCGGTTTTTGGGAAGCGATTTTCTGATGAAAAATTCTCTTCATAAAAGTGCTGTTTTATAAGGGCCAATGGCCATTCGTGGGGTCCCCCCCATTCCGGGTCCGAAACTCTATTCCGAAATCTTGTTCGTTTAAGATTTAGGACTGTAAGGCTCGAAACTCTATACGTATAGAGTTTAGTGTATAAGGTTTCGGAATGTATAGAGTTTCGCGTATATGGTTTCGGACCGTATAGGGTTTCGCGTACAAGGTTTCGGAATTTATAGAATTTCGCGTATAAGGTTTCGGACCGTATAGAGTTTCGCGTATAAGGTTTCGGACCGTATAGAGTTTCGCGTATAAGGTTTCGGACCGTATAGAGTTTCGCCTATAAGATTTGGGCACCTACGTGTCTAAACTTTATACGTTTAAGATTCAGAAAATTCGGTTTTTGGGAAGCGATTTTCTGATGATAAATTCTCTTCATAAAAGTGCTGTTTTATAAGGGCCAATGGCCATTCGTGGGGTCCCCCCCATTCCGGGTCCGAAACTCTATTCCGAAATCTTGTTCGTTTAAGATTTAGGACTGTAAGGCTCGAAACTCTATACGTATAGAGTTTCGCGTATAAGGTTTCGGACCGTATAGGGTTTCGCGTACAAGGTTTCGGAATGTATAGAATTTCGCGTATAAGGTTTCGGACCGTATAGAGTTTCGCGTATAAGGTTTCGGACCGTATAGAGTTTCGCCTATAAGATTTGGGCACCTGCGTGCCTAAACTTTATACGTCTAAGATTTAGAGAATTTCCGGTTTTTGGGAAGCGATTTTCTGATGATAAATTCTCTTCATAAAAGTGCTGTTTTATAAGGGCCAATGGCCATTCGTGGGCTCCCCCCCATTCCGGGTCCGAAACTCTATTCCGAAATTTATTCGTTTAAGATTTAGGACTGTATGAGTTTCGCGAATAAGATTTGGGCACCTGCGTGCCTAAACTTTATACGTTTAAGATTTAGAGAATTTCCGGTTTTTGAGAAGCGATTTCCTGATGATAATTTCTCTTCATAAAAGTGCTGTTTTGTAAGGGCCAATGGCCATTCGTGGGGTCCCCCCCAGTCGGTGGCCTAAACTCTATACGAATATAGTTTAGGAACGAAGTTTTGGCTTAAATCTTATATGTATAAGATTTCGCAACCGGTGGTTGCCTAAACTGTATAGGTATAGAGTTTAGGAATGAAGTCAGGGCTTGAATCTCATATGTATAAGATTTCGCAACCGGTGGTTGCCTAAACTCTATTTGTATATAGTTTTGCAGTGGAGTAGTAAGTTTTAAGCCCTCTGAGCCTCTACTTGCAATAAAGTAGTAAATTTTAAGGCTTACTCAGCCTCTAAAAATAACTTTTAAGCCCTACTCAAGCGCTAATTAGAGTAATAAAGTTTAAGCCCTACTAAGCCTCTAATTGCAATAAAGTAGTAAGTTTTAAGGCATATTAAGCTTCTAATTGCAGTAGAGTAGTAAGTTTTAAGCCCTACTCAGGCACTAATTTAAGCCCTACTGAGGCTCCAATTGCAGTAGAGTAGTAAGTTTTAAGCCCTACTAAGCCTCTAATTGCAGTAGAGTAGTAAGTTGTAAGCGTCGTGTTTTTACCCATTATCATTGACCGTGCTCGTGAGAATCCAGCCTCACTTGGGCCCTTCACGCTTCCCCTGACACTTCTAGGCAGGGTCCCAGGGCTTGGGGTCCTTACAAGGCTTTAGACCTTCAAGGGGCCTCGAGCAGGCCCGAGCGCCCCTACGAAAAGAGCGGGACGCAGAGAGGGGAGGGTAAAGCCCTCTCAGAAGACATCGCCGAGAAAATTGTCCCGACGTCTCTATGTTAGTCGCGCGGCAATCGGCAGCAGAAGAAGATCGGCCGCGAAGGACAACCTAAAAATCGAGTGTGATCGGAGAGGAATAAATTCCCTTCAGGGAGGTGCAGTCTGTCACAAGCTTTAAAGGCTCAGTGCTTTCAAAGGAGTTCAGTGCATTGATGGTCTTTACAGGGCCTTAGAGACTTCAAGGAGTTTAGAAGGCCTTACAAGCTCAGAGCTCCAAGGAGGCCTTGAAGCTTTTACCGGGCGTTAGAGATTTCTGGGGGCCTTAAAAGGCCGTACATGTTCGGAAGCTTCAAAGGAGTTGAAGGCCTTGAAGGTTGTAAAGGAACTTAAAGATTTCACGGGGTTTTAAATGACTTAGGACCTTGAGCAGTTGCAGTGAGGGGCTCGAGGCTTTCGAAATAGCTCCAGAGTGGTGCAGGCCCTCGAAGACCTAGAGGCTCAGAGAGCGTTCAAGAAGTTTAGGGCCTTGAAGCAAAGGAGCTGAGGGCCTGGCTCAAGGCCGTCGAAGGAGTTTAGATCTTGAGCGTCCTTACAGGGCTTTGAGCTTCAAGGGGCCTCAAGCGGCCTTCGATGCTCGGGGCACTGAAAGGAGTGTAGGGCTGTCAAAGCCTTACAGGGCCTGAGGAACTTCAAGGGGCTTCAATGCTTTGCAGGGCTTTCATACGATTTAGCTCTCTTCAACCTGGTAGGGGCCTTCAACAACCTTAAACCTCATTCAAAGCAGTTTAGGGCCTGAAGTTTCTTACAGAGCTTTTTAGACTTCAAGGCGTCTTAAAAAAAAGCTTCGATGCTGTGTTCAGAGGAGTTTAAGGCCTTGCAAAGCCTTAGAAGCTCAGGTAGGGCCTTCAAAGCGGTTTAGGGCCTTGAGGGTCGCGAAGAGCCTCAACGACTTCAAGGGAGCTCACAGGCTCCGGGCTTTCAGGAAATGCAGTTCAAGAAGTTTAGGGCCTTGAAGCAAAGGAGCTGAGGGCCTGGCTCAAGGCCGTCGAAGGAGTTTAGATCTTGAGCGTCCTTACAGGGCTTTGAGCTTCAAGGGGCCTCAAGCGGCCTTCGATGCTCGGGGCACTGAAAGGAGTGTAGGGTTTTCAAAGCCTTACAGGGCCTGAGAGACTTCGAGGGGCTTCAATGCTTTGCAGGGCTTTCAAACGATTTAGCTCTCTTCAACCTGGTAGGGGCCTTCAACAACCTTAAACCTCATTCAAAGCAGTTTAGGGCCTGAAGTTTCTCACAGGGCTTTTTAGACTTCCAGGCGCCTTAAAAAAAAGCTTCGATGCTGTGTTCCGAGGACTTTAAGGCCTTGCAAAGCCTTAGAAGCTCAGGTAGGGGCCTCAAAGCGGTTTAGGGCCTTGAGGGTCGCAAAGGGCCTTAACGACATCAAGGGAGCTCAACAGGCTCCGGGCTTTCAGGAAGTGCAGTTTAAGAAGTTTAGGGCCTTGAAGCAAAGGAGCTGAGGGCCTGGCTCAAGGCCGTCGAAGGAGTTTAGAGCTTGAGCGTCCTTACAGCGCTTTGAAACTTCAAGGGGCCTCAAGCGGCCTTCGATGCTCGGGGCACTGCAAGGAGTGTAGGGCTTTCAAAGTCTTACAGGGCCTGAAGAACTTCAAGGGGTTTCAATGCTTTGCGGGGCTTTCAAACGATTTAGCTCTCTTCAACCTGGTAGGGGCCTTCAACAACCTTAAACCTCATTCAAAGCAGTTTAGGGCCTGAAGTCTCTTACAGGGCTTTTTAGATTTCAAGGCGCCTAGAATAACACTACGTTGCGAGCCCCTCACCGTTACCTTGCTCGACAGCAAAGCCCCGGGACTTGGGACCCCGAGAGTAGGTTTACCTCGCAATACAATCAGAACATGTGCACCAGTTGCCTCCTAGGATTACATCATTGGCTCGATGCACGATTCGCTGAATTTCGTGAGTTTTGATCTTCGGTGCCTCCCGGTGCTCTCTTCAAGATTGTTTCGCGCTTCCGGGGCCTGGCATTTTTATCAGTTTTTTCCTTATAATGCTTTTGTTGATTTGAAGACGTAGCTTTTGCTGAACAGACTGTCGGACTTTCGTCTTGAAATCATTTTGTTTACTTCTAGGTTTAGGATTAATGCCTGCAGGCTTCGGCGTCTAGGTAGTAACTTCTCATACGCAAACTGCGCTTGTCCCGGGGCCCCCCCGGGACAGTTGTCCCAGAGCCCCCCCGGGACATTGTCCAGGGTTGTCTCGGGGAGTCGCGGGCCCCCCCCGGGACAATTGTCCCGGGACCCCCCCGGGACGCCTTGGGACACTTGTCCCGGGACCCCCCCGGGACGCCCCGAGACACCCCCGCGACTTTGTCCCGGGACCCCCCCGGGACAGTGGTTGTCGATATTCTGAATGCATGTGTGGTTTTGGTTTGTCTCTCTGTGCCTTGGTTTGTGCATAGTTTTCGACAGTTCGCAGCAGACCCAAATGGTGGGACGACAGCGTAAAACCCACGTTTTTCTACGATTTTCTGCGGTTTTGTGCCGCGCGTTCGTTTTCAATAGCAACGCCTACTCAACAAACACTACGATTTCGTATTTCCTTGGTCGCCATCCAATTCTCACTTTGCCGGTCCGGTGCACCCGTTTTTTTCGCTATCTAGTTTGTGCCTTTTCTTTTCAAGTTTGCTTTCCCTTTAAAGTTGGGACGCAGCCTCCCTACAAAACCTTCGGTGCGGGGTATCTTCAAGTATGTTCCGGGAGTTGAAACATGGCGCCGTAGGTTTTGGACGACACACGAAAATTCAAATCACTTTTTTCGCCACCTGGCCGCACCTGCGCAATTTTGCACCCCGCAAGCATTATAGCATGACGCGTTTCCAAACCTGAACGTACAAGACTCAGGAACCTACGGTCGCCGAAAACTCTATACATATAGTTTAAGCACAGCGTTTGGATTGCAATACAAGCCCGCGTAATCTATCGCCGCCCTAATTGAAATACATAATGGTAACACACAGCTCCGGGTGCCCAACTCGCCGCCAAACCTCCAAAAGAAAGAAAAGCCATGCCGCTATTTCCTAAACCAGAGTTTAGGAAACTAAACCCTAAAAGGCGGAGCTGGCTTAGGGTGGGAGCCGCACTACACGGCGCGGGAGGGCGCACCGATCGGCGCGGCCGAAGTCGGCCCCCGCTTTCTGCGGCATCATAGCGCGCTCCGAAGTCGATACTTCGCCTTCGCAATTCTATATGTCCATCCGGCACGGGATCGTCCATCCATCGGGGCTCTAGCAAACCCTAAACCCTAAACCCTAAAACCTAAACCCTGAACCCTGAACCCTAAACCCTAAACCCTAAACCCTAAAACCTAAAACCTAAACCCTAAACCCTAAACCCTGAACCCTGAACCCTGAACCCTAAACCCTAAACCCTAAACCCTAAACCCTAAACCCTAAACCGTAAACGGTGGAATCCCGGAATCAGAACTAAGTGTCGATTCAACAATCCCCAAAGCTCTCTATCATTCAGGGTCTACACTGAACCATAAGGAGCTTAAGAGTTATCCCAAATCGATACCTAGGGAAGGATGCGACTGAGGAGCTTAGAACAACAGCCGCTCTGACCTGAAAGTCCAAGCCACCACTGATCTTACCAGTACGGCTTGGGTTTAGGGTTTAGGGTGTACGTGTAAACCAAGTCGTACAGTAGAAGCCAGAAAGTTGGAATATCATTATCGTAACCCCTTTAAGGTAAGTTATAGGGGATCCTACCATTCATCCATATTCCAACTTTCTGGAGTTCCCTTTAAGTCTAAGACCCCTCTCTGCTTTATTCTAGGCTTCGGTCTGGTGCTCTTTCCGGGCAAGGTCTGGGCCCGGACACAAAACTATACTGAACTTAAAACCCTAGCAAAAACTATAACTTTAGCTGCTTCTTGGGGATTACCCTATCCCTCCAGGAACCTTATTATGGGGTCCTTAAGGGGTCTAGGGCCCTAACTATGAGGTCCTTGGAGGGATAGGGTTATAATAACCAAAAACTAAAAACTATTTCTAAGTACCCCTGAGAAAAGCTGGTTCACGGATCACGGATCGCTGTTTCTGGGTATGCCTGAGTTCTGGGCTACCACTGCACGACAATGTTGCCAGTCACAAGTCTTTCTTAGTATTTCATCGAGGTTACCTACAGACCTGCCGCGTCTCATGAACTCTAAACTTTAGGATTTAGGGTTTAGGGCTCCTGAACCCACAACCCAAACTTCAGCACCTAGGAATTTGGGCTCAAGGTTTCGGATACATACCTTTAGGCTCATACCCTACCCCATTTTGAAGGTACCTACTTTTCTATATAGGAGATCCTAAGCATAAACCTAGGTACCCTAGAAAAGGGGTACCTCTAGGTAGTGTTCAGGCCCTCAAACCCCATCCACAACTCCCGAAGTCCCCAAAGTTCGGATCTCTGGAACAGGCCCTAAACCCTAAACCCCCAAACTCTAGGATACCCAGTACCCTAAGAAAAAAAAGGCCTCTCTTTTTGGTATTGGGTAACTTTATAAGGAACCTAGGACTACAAAAAGGGAATAAGGGTACTACTTGGCATCCTAGAACTTCTGAACGCCTGAAAGTGAAAGCCCGAAGCCTCCCTGTAGGGGTACCGTACCCTCATGGAACCCTTGCGGGAACCCCTAAAGGCACTACCCTAAACCCCTCAAACCATAAATCACAAGGCCCCAATCATCCCCAATCCCTACAGTAAACCCCAGAAAGTTGGAAACCGGATTAAGGCCAACTAGTGCTGGGATTCCCTATACATTAGTCTTAAGGATCGAGGCTATGGGGTTTCCAACTTTATGGGGTTTACTAGAATCCTAAGACGAGGATCGCTGGGCGAAGTTCAGGAGCGCATTCAGCGCAGGGACGAAAGCCTGGGATCGAGCTCGAATCGATGTGGCTGGGCTCAAAAGCTGAAGTGTCCGGGTGTGTCTTGCTTTTCTTGGGAGTCTAGGGCTTCGGGCTTAGGGATAACGGTGGAGACGGGCCACCAGGAAGAGAAACTGCATCGGGGGCATCTGGGTCTGGATAATAATTTTAAGGATAACACATTCGTTTCAACAGGAATTGGGAGTATATATGTCAATGCTATTTACTATGGGCAAACACTACAAATACCATTGGGAGGCATAACGGAAAATATGTCTAAGTACTGTGCCCCCCGTATGACGGTATGATGTAGCAGTCTTCAAGCCTAGGGCAGACGTGAGATGCTCCCCCTATGCGCATGCGTATAATCCCCAAGTCGAGACTTTATGTCTCAGCCTGCAACATTCACGTCAAGCCCAGAACTGTCTACCCTTAAGCCACAAGCCTAAGCAGCACTGTGAACATTGAGATCTATACTGCGACGCTTGATGCAACAGCAATCTGCTGGAAGCATTCACCCAAGGCGCTCCCCAGCATGGCACATGAAGAACGTGAAGCGTGAGGTCCGGCTCAGCCTCCACGTGTCGGGTTTCGGTCATAAGTCCAATTTCAATCCGAGCGCAAACTTGGTTTGACCTCTGTGCACTCGGTGTTACAGGGTAGTGTCACAGCACAGCTGCTTGGAAAATATAATGCCATGGCATCACCAATGTTCCGACCCCGTGGAGAGGTTAACTGCTAACCTTTGGGATTATGGAAGGAGCTGAATATACAATGTAGGTTAAGCGTTATCCACGGCTTCTGGGCCAGCCGACTTACCGACCCAATCAAGAAACCCGTGAAAACCGGCATAACACCCCAAAAGGAACCCTCAAACCCTGCCAGCAGATACACTTAAAGGAGCCCTATAGATCCCGTTTAGGAGCCCTCCTTTAAGGAACCCTATAGATCCCTGTAAAGATAACCCCGTCTAGGAAGGAACCCTGTCCTGGGTACATGCACCATCCCACACCGGGCGTCACGTCATATGCGTAGTTGTCAAAATTATGGTCCCTTTTTGGGTCCCTATTACAATACGGCACCTATTATTTAGGGTACCCAAAAACGTACCCCTAATTTTCGGAAACTCCCATATGAATCCCGGAAACCGGCAAACCAAAACCCAGCGACACTTAAACAACCACTTCCGTAGTACCCTTACTTGGAGGTTCATGGAACTTAGTAAGTAAGGTTATAAGTACCTTAATTAGGGTTATAAGTAGTCATAAATATAGCCACCTTACTTATAACCCTAGTTACTACGTCCCATGATCCTCTAAGTAGACCCTAAATCACCTCCTATAATAGAACGAACCCCTATAGATCCCTTTAAAGGAGCCCTTTAATAAGGAACCCTAGTTACTAAGTCCCATGATCCTCCAAGTAATGGGGGACCCAAAGGGTCGCCTTCTGGTGCCCTCCTCTAGCGGACGGGTACTCTTATAGCACCCTTAGCGGGGCCCATAAAGGGACCCCTTCCCAGGGTAAAAGGAGGGACCCTTAAGAAGGACCCCTAGGTATATGCCCTTGATATAGCTATTATATACCCATTATATAGCCCATTTTAGGGTAGGGGTCCCCATTAAGGGTCCCTCCTTTTCCCCTTTGACCCCTATATGAACACATCCCTTACAGGCCTAAGCCCTACACCCCAAACCGTAATTAAGCCCTATACCTCGACCCTCCATCTACCCTTTATTAGACCCTAAGTACCCACTATTTGGAACCATATACCCCTATTTGAGGGTACAAGGAGGGTCCTGGTATAGACCCTAAACCCCAAACGCTAAACACAAAACTCTAATCCCTAAACCCGAAAACCCCAAACCCTAAAACTCTAAACCCCAAACCCTAATCCCTAAACCCAAAAACCCCAAACCCTAAAACTCTAAGCCCTAAACCCCAAACCCTAAACCCTACACCCTAAACCCCAAACCCTGAACACAAAGCCCCTCAAAGCAACCCGTGCACTTCGCCCAAAGGAGTCGACGCCTCCTCTGCGATCTGCTTCACCTGCGGAAAAAACAGAGCTCTAAACGGTCGAGGGGTTTAGGGTTTAGAGATTAGGGTTTAGGGGTTTTGGGGAATGCTATATATATATATATATATATACTGAACTTAGACCTCCTAGCAAAAATTATAACTTTAGCAGTTTAAGTTTCTTAGGGAGTATAGGAACCAAAGATGAAAAACTAATTCTAAATACCTTGGAGAATGTTGGCTTCGTATAAGGGTTTGATGGCTTTAGGGTTCAGGGTTTAGGGCTTGGGTGTAGAGTGGTGTTTTTGCTGTTCAAAGTGGTTGAGGTTTAATGTCGGAACCTGATTTTAAGAAACCCTAACCCTATAACCCCAAAATAGTAGGATGGGGGCGTAGGGCTTTATGGTTCAGAATTGAAAGGATCTGGGCTTTAGGGTTTAGGGTAGGTTTAGGGTTTAGGGGTTTAGGGTGCAGGGTTTATTTGGGGTTGCGGGGGTAGCAGTGCATATGAAGAGTCGCAAGGCCAAGCTTCGTGCACCGGGTTCGCAGCAGCATCTAGCAACGCGAGAGTTGAAAGCCGCTTAAGCCATATAGACCTCCCATCCATTACCTAAGCCCCAAATCCTAAACCCTAAAACCCTAAACCCTAAACCGTAAATTACAATGCCAGGGCCGCAGTCACCCTAGAACAGCCAACGGCCTTGTCAACGTGGCTGTTCACAGCAATGGCCGTGATCACACCAAGCTTTCGCGCCTGGCACGGTGGGCAGTGGGTGCAATTTGCGCAACCAAGGGTTTCTAACTCCCTCAATAACCCACAGAAACAAAAGGTTAAACTTTCCGATAGCTGCTAAACTATAAGAGCCCCAAAAGTTTAAAGGTTGGGTATTGGGGGATCTAAGGTTTATGGGGTTTAGGGTGTTGTATCCAGGTTCTCCAGGCTTGCCGCCGCACAGTCCAACCAGAACCGGACAGCCTTTTACAAGCTCGATGCGAAAAATAACGGCTACCAGAGACGTCACCGTTGCCTCGAGCTCCAGCTACAGCAGCTCCGCGATGAGATCGCCCGCTTCGCGTTTGCGAGCACGGCCAGGTTCAAGCTGGAGAGTAGTAGAGAGGCCTGATGATGTCGCATCCGCCCCATCGTCATCATCATCTTGAAGCGTCCTCTTCGGAAGAGGACGCTTCTTTGCTTGAGGACACTTCTTCGTAGTCGGCATCTTTTTCGACTTCGGCTTCGGAGTCGGCATCTTTTTGGATTTGGGAGTAACCCGCGTGTGCCCGGAATGGCCTTCGGGACGCGGGGAGTGGCCAGCAGGATCATTCATATATACTATATATATATATATACATATATATATATATATATATATAAGTCTATATTATATATGCGACCTCTCTGCTGGAAGAGCAAAATGCGACGAAACCCCCACCCAAAAGCCTCAACGGAAAGGTTTTGGGCTCCGAGATGAAGGGCGTCGAGTGTTCAGGGAAACGGGAAACCCCAAGCCTTTGGGCTCCGAAACCTCCCAAGAAATGAAGACATCTCCGACATGGGAGCTTCCGAAAGTTTGGGAGAATTCCCTTATTTTGGGCTCCTTATAATAAGGATCCTACTATTTAGGGTGCTATAGTAGGGTCCCCTATTTTCGGAAACCCGCCATCTACTGCCGAATAATTTAGCCTTGAGGGGTAAGGGTCAAGCTTGGGGTTTGTGCTTTCACGAAATTTAGGGTAGGGTAACGGAACTACTGCTTTTCGGCGAAAGCAATTCCAGCTGATGGGTGGTTGTGCACATAAGATCACGGTTTAAGATTACGAATAAAGGCACGAATTGAAGGCAAGAGTCTGTAGGATCGATCCTACACGAGGCTCCGCTTGTGGAGCATCGCCGTAGATAGGGTTTCAATAATTGAAACCGGGTTTTGGGGGATTACTTTGAAAGTTGCGGCATAGGACTACAGGGGAACGATGTCGAAAAGCAACTACCGGCCGACGTTTTCCTCTGTTTCATTTGTCCGGGTAACCCTAAACCCTAAACCCTAAGGGCCCTGCTTCGGCCCTTTCAAGCTTCACAGCTGCTGAGGTAAGCGACAAGATGCTATACACAGGTTTAGGGTTTAGGGGTTTAGGGTTTAGGGGTTTAGGGTTTAGGGTTTAGGGGTTTAGGGGTTTAGGGTTTAGGGGTTTAGGGTTTAGGTTTAGGGTTTAGGGGTTTAGGGTTTAGGGACAGAGCATCGTGCAGTACCATCCGCTGCTATACATCCCTCTTGCAGAAAAATATCCTCAGGACCCTGAAACCTCCATGATCAGCCAGGGATTTATGACTAATTACTAATTACCCAGACGCCCCATAGTAGTTCCTTTTCGGGTTACCCTATAGGATTCTATATACTATAGTATGTGAACCCCAAAAAGGAACTACTTTCTGGCCTTTGGGTAGAAACTTCATCGAAAATTGTTCTCAACGTGCCCATATGGGAGCTTCCGCAAATTAGGGGTACCTTGTTTTGGGCTCCTTATAATAAGGGTCCTAGTATTTAGGGTACTATACTAGGGTCCCCTGTTTTCGGAAACTCCCATATTTGCTACACTCTGGGCCAGATGCCTGCTGCACGTAGCGTCGCAAGTGCTCAGCTGTGGCTTCTGGTATCTCCTTGGTTCACTCTTGTCATCTGAATTCGAAGCTGTCATCTCCCAAAACCCCACGGATTCTAATTCTTAAGGCGCCTATGCCCCCAATACTGAGATCCAGGATCGGAAACCTTCATTCCATCTGCCGCCCAGGATGAAAAAGGCCGAACCGGCCACTGCCTCCCTGCAGGTACCATGAGTCTCTGCGTAGACCACAAACGTGTATGTACATGTCTTTGCATATGAATGAATAAGCAATACATATATGTAAAATATGCATGTGTTCAAGGTCTGTTTATATATATATATATGTATATAGAGGCAGAGGTAGAAACAGAAATAGAGATAAAGTTTACGGATGGAGATAGAGACACAGAAAAAGATTGGGATAGAGATCAAGACAGAACAACATGTGGAGAGAGAGATGTAGATACAGATGCGAGATAATTATAGGTATCTGCGGCTATAAGAGCCGGAACACGGCGAAACACACAAAGCTTGCTTCAAACTAAGATACAGTGCAAAACCCTATGCACCAAAGCTGCAGATGCAACTCCGCTTAACGCCAAGGCCCGGATCAAATCCATCGATGGCTTCACACAGGGATGGCTATAGCGGGACAATGTGTCGACTCTACATATACATACATACATACCTACGTACATACATACATACTTACTTACGTACGTACCAACGCACATAGCTGCGTACATGCATGCATACATCCATACATACGTGTGTGCATACATACATATATGTATATATATATATATACACACACACTTATGCACGAATACTGCATATATGTATATATGTATATATGTATATATATATATATATATATATATATATATGTATGCATGTATGTATGTATGTATGTATATGTACGTATGTATGCATGTATACATATATATATATATATATATATGTGTGTGTGTGTATTTGCATATATACACTTATGCATATCTATGTGTGTATGTATATGTATATGTGTATACATCTAGTTATAATATGTATGACCTAACTGTAGCAGGAATTGCCCGCTACTTTACAACTACGGCAGGAATTGCTTGCAGCTTGTTATAGGAAACTTGGGCGTTCCAGGCATACAAAAATACCTATACAGCCTATACATACATTATTAATATACATTACTATCGGTCGGTTCGACAGAACCGACGGGGTCTCGATGTACCAACCAGGGAGAAGGACTGCGTGAGAACTCCCGTAAGCAGAAGTCTCGGCGCAGACAGCAAACAACGGTACACTGTAAACAGGACGCACTACGTACCCAAACCCCTCGACAGGGAAGCTCCAGAATTCTTTCAATCAAGCCACGTTAGGAAAGATTCTTTAAACAACCAACACTAGTACCCCTAGAACACGTTGTGTAGCACGAGGCCATAGAAGCCTGAACCCTTCCTCAACACCAAGGACTTAGTAACCAGGGTTGCATCTAACTTCATTGGAAGTACGACTATGGTTGCCCTTCTTATATCCCTACCTACTAAGTCCCTATACCTCTGGTTGATCCCCATACTCAGAACCCCAAATACCCCTTCAATCAAAACCTTACCGAACCACCAAAGGAACCCAGGAAGGTTCCTTCCCCTAACCCCCCAAACCCTATACCCTATCCCTCCAGGAACCTTATTATGGGGTCCTTAAGGGGTCTAGGGCCCTAACTATGAGGTCCTTGGAGGGATAGGGTATATAACTGGAGTCAAGAGGCGGACTGGTCCGGCTTCAAGTGCATGCGCGTGCCGGAGACCTAATAAGAATAAGAAGGATAAGAAGAATAATGAGAATCATGAGAATCATGAGAATAATAAGAATAATGAGAATAATAAGAATAAGGAGAATAAGAATGATGATAACAACAATAATAACACTAGTAACATTAAGAAACGTGATATATACAAATAATACTGAGCTGGGAAGTCCCCTTCCCTGCGCTGCAGAGGAAGTGGAGGGTTTCGGGTTTTAAGGGTTTAGGGCATATGGTTTAGGGCTTTAAGGGTTTAGGGCGTATGGTTTGGGGCTTTAAGGGTTTAGGGCTTATGGTTTGGGGATTTAAGGGTTCAGCGGTTGAGGGTTCAGGGGTTGCGGCTTTACGGCTATCGTACCTCTTGTTTGATGACACAGCCGTCTAGGAGAAACTGGTGGGAGCGGGGATCAGTTCCGAGTCAGCCTATAAAGGCCTTCATAAATAGGGTTTGAGTGTATTAACTTGCTAAAATTCTTTTACTTGTAATAAGGAACCCCCAAAACGGTACTGGTAATTATTTAGGCCCCTGGATTTTCAGGGAGTTCTTGAATCGAAGCCACGGGCTGAACTCCAAAAGCAGGACTCCTTGGAGGATCATGGGACTTAGTAAGTAAGGTTATGAGTACCTTAATTGGGGTCATAAGTAGTTATAAGTATATAGTTACCTTAATTATAACCCTAGCTACTAAGTACCATGATCCTCTAAGTCAGAAGCCCGAAAGCCCTGAAAACACGAAGCTTTCATTTCAGCCCTTGTGCTGTCTTCGGACTTTAAACTCTAAGGCCTCACTTACACGCAAACCTCAGGCCTACGCAACAAAGCACGAAATTTCTGGGCCAGCTGCGATGCGCGAAAATTGAAAGTTTTGCTCATTCCTTCCGGTGATCAGGCTCATGTTTCGTGGGCTCTTTGCAGGGCGTAGGGATTAGCCTTTCACGCTTAAGATATCTTAAGATAAGGGCGTCTCTGCTCCGGTTTGGGGCTCAGGGAGCCCGTCAGGCTCTGGGTTTGTGAGAGTAAGCTGCGACCCCGTTCTTCACGGGCATCAATACCAGGACCCTCCTTGTACCCCCAAATAAGGGTATATGGTCCCAAATAAGGGGCATCTAGGGTCTAATAAAGGGTAGATGGAGGGTCTAGGTATGAAGCTCCGGGCCCTAATCTCTTGAAAATTCCTCCTGATTGCTCACATGGAAGATCGCGAGAATCCGACATCCTGTGAGTGAGGACTGTCCCTTGCATAGACCAAATCAGTGGTTTTTTACGGGCAAGTTGATTGCGGGTATTGGTAAACGACGGCATTGGTTTCGATAGGACGTGGGGACTGGCTGAATGCTTACCGTCTTTGGCAATTCAGGCCGCGTACTGTTTAGGCCTGGTTCTATATAGCGAGAATAGGGTGCGGGGCATATAACAGTATAGTTACAACAGGGAGCCCAATAGTATCGGCTCTGATTCAGGCAGACATATTCTGCCCTATGAGACTTGCACGACTGAAGGCACTATGTAAGTCAACTAGACATACTAGTTGTGAAATTCACAAAGCCTTAGAAGCAAGGGGCTTCGCACGCGCACTGACGTCCAAAACGGCAATCGAAACCCGAACCCCACGTACCGGTCGCAGCAGGAGTAATCGTCGTTGTGGTAGTGACGTTAGTAGTAGCGTTTGCAACCGTACCTAGTACTAATAGTATAATTCAGTACACTAGTACTGATATGATACTTGTGCTAGCACGAGCATAGGCACCGCAGCGGCAGGACTACAAACAAATATGCAATGACTCGACCACCTCATGATGCACCCTCGTGTCATGACGATGGCAGCACACAGACCCAACACCGAGCGAGCGAAACTCTCTGCACACAAATCAATAAATTAGTCATAACAGCCCCATGTGTTTTGGAACTAGCACGCATACTTCGATTCCTAAAGCTGTGTGTTCATCTGCTGTATCACGCCTCATCTGCTCTCTCCATTTCACATCTTCCTCGGTCTCCGTTTCCTGGGCGTCTTGTACAGGCTTCCCCGACGCTTTGCCCGAAAGGTTCGTAGCGCAATGTGTACCACGTGTGCAGCCTGCACTACTTAGAGGATCATGGGACTTAATAAGTAGGTTATAACTGGGGTTATAAGTCCCCTAAGTGGGGTTATCCTAAATATAACCTACTTATAACCTTACCTATTACTAAGTCCCATGAGCCTTTAAGTAGACCCTAAACCCTAACCCCCCTAGATCCCTTTAAGGATCCCTATAGATCCCTTTAAGGAGCCCTTAACGAACCTTACTAAGCCCCATGAGCCTTTAAGTAGAACCCAAGGATTCACCGAAGCCTCGAGGTTGCAAGGCTCTTACGAACCGACGTTATGAAGGTAAAGGCTCCAATCCCTGGGGCGCAATCTCGAACCGAAGCCCTTGAGCCCCACCCACAGACTCTAAACTTCATAGCGCAAGAACCCACACCAAAAACGTGATTCCTAAATCCTCAGCCGTACACCCACAGCCCAAACCACAATAAACTGCCCGGGCTGGATCCACCCTGAAGCAGCGACCCAAGGGAATTAACTGAAAATGTCTTGACTTGACCTTGACCATGACTCAGCAATTACATCCTAATCATGACGGTGCTTTGAAAAGTCTCATCATATGCAATCTGCCTGAAACAAGATCCGTCTCGGACTCGAATGCGTAGAGCATTTACAGGGAGGCTTAGGGGCCCGTAGAGTGGACATCAGCAACTCTCCAGAGATCCCAATACCCCCTAATTAAGTTATATACCTTAAACTATCGAGGCCTTAATATTAAACGATCCCAGTAACCCTTAATTAAGGAATATACCTTAAATCATAATAAGTATGATTTAAGGTATGTTCCTTATATATGGGTTATTGGGATCTCTGTCAGCACAGGCACAAGCCCACACATGGTGCCCGAAGCCTGTAAATCAAAGGGGAAAACGGGGGACCCTTAATGGGGACCCCTACCCTATAATGGGGCTATATAATGGGTATATAATAGCTATATTAAGGATATATACCTAGGGGTCCTTATTAAGGGTCCCTCCTTTTACCCTTGGAGTAAAGCCACAGACCCCGATTGCCGTATCCGCGAACCCACGGCCTTCACCTAAAGCATCCCCAAATCTGAAACCCTGATATAGGGTTTAGGGTTTAGGGTTTAGGGTTTAGGGGCCTGAATATATAGAATAGGGTTCTTGGGTCCATTATTCGATTATAATAATTCTTGGAACCTGAAACCCTGATAAAAGCAATATCAGGGCCTGTATATCTATATATATATACACATTTAGAACAGGGTTCTTTTGAAGGGTTCCTTTAAAGGGTGTCTATAAGGGGGTACTACAAGGGTTCTATGATAAAGCAGGGGCTGACATAGCCCTAAGGGTCCAAGTACATAATAATCATATACTCTTCCAAATATTATCCTGCATAGCTACTTTCCGTAACCAGAGTACCTTAATGTTGGATCTTTTGGACCCTTAGGGTAGGGGCCTGAAGAATTAGAATAGTTTTTTGGGTCCATTATACGATTATAATAATAAGAAACCCCCAAAATAGTATAGGTAATTAATTGGGCCCCTATATCAAATCTGAAACCTTACAGCCGAAACGATAAGATCCAGTCTGGCACGTGACCTTTATAATTCCAGATCTGCGACAAGGCGTCGATGCCTTTTCATTCCTTCACCATGAGAGTTGCAAAGCTTCTGAAGCATGCCAGTGAGTTCATCGTTTCTAGCTGCTGGTCTCCCCAGAATAAATCCAAAACAAAAACTCATCAATAGCTACTACAATGGAGCGTTAGCATCAATCACCAAAGCCGCAACATAACCCCGACTTCATACACACCCCAAGAAATCCTGATCCCTTGAAGAATACGTTTTAGACCCTACCAAACTGAGCTAGGGTTTTAAGCTTCCTGATCCCCCCAAACCCCCGAAGACTACTTAGCCCAAAGGGTCCTATGTACCGAAATAGTAGAAGGTAGGGTTTCCATATTAAGAGTTACTGTTATGACTTAGGGAAGCATCACCCATAACAGTACATAGGACCCTTTGAGTAGGGATTTTGCTTTTCATCCCGAGCCGCGGCTTCGCTCTCGTCCATCGAGTTGAGGGATCCCACGGAACTGGCGATGGATGCCTGCGCTCGCGGGTTCGGCTCAGGGCTAGGCTTAGGGCTTAAGGCCTTAATAATTAGAATAGGGTTCCCCGTGAAGGGGTCTATAAGGGCTACTATACGGGAGATACTAGTACCATGATATGGGGCCTAAAAATTGGAATAATTAGGGTTTTGGGCCCAGTAATACAATCAAAATAAGGAACTCCCAAAATAGTATCGGGGTAGAGAGCGGCCAGGGCTGTGTGGTGAGGATGCTTCCCATGGGGCTTCGGAATTCGGGCGTTCAGTGTTAGGGGTTTGGAAGTTTTAGATTTTGGGACTTAGGGGTGTATGGGTTACGCGTTTCCGGGTGTAGGCTTGGGATTCAGGGTTTGGGGATTTACGGGCTTCGGGTTCATGCGTTTTAGAAACGGGCTGGTCACGCCAACCGAAAGGCCACCGGCAGAGAAAGCGCGAACCGTGGCGGAATTGTCAATGACCGAGTCTTCGCCCAAGATCTCTTCCAGGATCGCAGCTACAGATTCAGCTGCTGTTCTGCCTGCCACCACAGCAATCAGTTCCGCATTTTCCGAGAACTTGAGCTCTGCAAAGTGTGACACAAGCATTCGCTCAGCGAGTACCATTTCCGCTTTCGCGGAGGAAAGCATGACAAACGGTTGTTTCGAAGCTTCCCAGCAAAGAATTATCCCGCTCTACAAAATATGTATGGCTTGCGACGACCTGCTGCCTTCAGGTGCATGGGATGCATCTGTATATATAGTTCCAGTGTGGACATAGTCAATGGCACTGGGGCGTCAGCCCTCGACAGCCCAGACGGCTTCCGATACTTGATCCACATGTCCAACGTGCCGAACAGGTACTTCAGCATCCGATGTCCCCTCTGCACAACCACGCTCGGGGCCTTGACTGTAAATTTGTCCCATTTTGCTCACCGTGAATGTACTTAGAGGATCATGGGACTTAGTAAGTATATAGGTTATAACGGTTATCCTGATTATAACCTACTTATAACCTTACTTACTAAGTCCCATGAGCCTTTAAGTAATGTCTGGGCAGCTCTCAGATGATGCCCGAAGCAAAGCTCCCGTTAAGGCTTGAGCCTCACGCACAACCTCAGGATTAAGCCGTAACTCATCCTCTGGGTCGCTCCACTGACTCAAGGGAGCACTGATACCTCGTGAACAGTTCTTGAAGGTACGATCTTTGAGAAAGTCTAGAGCCACCACCCTTTAATGCATGTACTTCAATGCCACAAAACGTAGTTGGCGATTCAATCATTGCTCTATTGCTCAGTCAGCTTCCACATCCATTGAGTTTCAAAGAACGCATAATCCGTATCAAGTCTTCTGGGTCGTACAACCTAACCTCTAAACCCAAACGCAAAAAGGGTCTAGGACCTGGGTGTGTGAACTCTGGAGTTCTGCTTGCAGTTTGGCGATTACCCTGTTATTGTAGGGCCCTCCATACTTGAAACAGGGTTTTGGGGTATCTTCTAAATAATAGAGACCCCCCTGAAAACCATAATAAAAATGCTACTTGTTGGTATTCTCTGGGGGTTTATATAAACAAATAATGGAAATGATTCCTAAGGAGATTATATTACTATGGATAGGATGATTGCAATACGGAGAGGCCAGGAATGGTATTACACTATAATGATTCAGGCTCCGATTATTCAAAGCAGTAGGCTCCAAGTTAGCTATCCCTGGATTCCGAAGTGTACGAATGACACTGGACATGAGCTCCCTTACGTCTGGGGGTTTACGGAATGTCAGGGTTTAGGTGCTTCGGACTTTAGGATTTTCGGATTGAATCCGATAGTGCAGACATCTAGCTATAGCGTGGGAGCTTCAACAGATGCTAACTAGCGTGAGTCCCTTCGAAGCTCGATGCCGAATCATGAAGGTGACTGCAACCCCAACAAACCTGGCTTCAACGCCAAGGCCCCTTTCGGCAGTCTCTGAACTGTAACCACTAAATTAAATCCCTCAAACCTCTTCATCCCCTCAACAATCGCCGCATTCAACAATATGCACAGAGCCGGTTCCTACAGACACGAGCTTAGAGGGGCATCGCGAGTTAATACACTGGCAGGCGAGAGTTCACTTTAAACTGGCGTGCAATGTTCGGCCTTGCTGGCAAATCTTTGCATGTCCTCTGCCTGCGAGCAGGACCAGCAGAGCAAAACCAGCAACTCAATAACTGCCCGGTGGCAGAGGCTGAAGGGACTGGGGAAATTGCAAAAGAAAGGATTTGGTAATGAGGGTGCCCTGTTGTATTATGTAGTACCCAGAAGCCCCAAAGTAGTTCCTTTTTGGGGATTACCTTATAGGATTCTATATATGAACCCCAAAAAGGAACTACGTTAGGGCCCTTGGGTATCTAGTAGTAAGCCAGGAAGGCCAAGATGAAGCGGTTAAGAGGAATCCAGATTGGCCTCCTCGAGGGTGCCAAGCTACCCAGAGGCTCCATAGTAGTTCCTTTTTTTATTTTGGGATTGCCGTATAGAGTTCTAAACAAGAGTCCCAAAAAGGAACTGTTATGGAGCCTTAGGGTAAGTACTGTAGAGACTATAAAGGTTCATGCACGAGTTGTGCAGGTCTGTTGCCTGCCTCTGTTAGGTTCATGACCCTACACTATAGACTAAGCCTTCGCACTCTACTGAAAACCTGCCAACAGCTACCAGCACTCCATATCGGCACCTGGACCCTTGCCCCGGCCCGAACCCTAAAACCCCTACAACCTGCACTGCGTAACTGTGTAAATTCTTCGGAAGTTACCGCGCAATCCTGCCTAAACCCCTACAAACCCTAAAACCTAAACCCGTAAACCTAGGTAATAGGACCTAGGAAGTGTAGCTGCAACCCCAAATCCTGACCCCAACCTGCGCGGCATTGGAATCGCCGGGATTCTGTGTGGACGTCTCAGGAGCATCCTCGAGGGATTTTGAAGGCTTTGGGAGTTTGAGGATTTAGAGGGTTAGGGCTGATGATATAAATTTTCTGCATTACCTTAAGGACCCTAAACTATGGGAATTATGGTATATTCCTTATTATGGGTAAAGGCAGGATTTACATCATCAACAGTAGGATTTAGAGAGGGTTTCAGGTTTGAGGATTTCGGGCTTTTAGGGTTCAGGGTCTACAGCTTGAGGAGTGAACCACAAGAAAAGCCCCAATGAAATAGCAAAGGGCTCTGGTTCAGCCCATCAGATTTAAAGAGCTGCTGGCTTCCATGAACTAAACAACACAACATGACTTTAGGCTCTAGGCTTTCTAGGGCCCTGAACCCTAAATCCAAAACCCACACTGTAGAATTGGAGGATCGTCCTTCTCAGGTTGGTGGTACTTTCATTTGGGTTCCCTACTATGATTCTGGTTTAAAGCCCCGGGAGGCTTTCACAGCAGGATGGACAAGCAGAACAGAATTTTCTTAGTTAGCTCAAGAATGCGCGAAACTGAATCATGGCATAAGGCCGTAAAACAATCGGTTGTTGAACACCAAAGAGACTAAGAGTCCTATAGGCACAAGCGATGTATTCTGAAGGCCTGAAACCCCGAACCCCGCAATCCGGATCAACTTCACTGGCGATCAAACTTGACCCGTACACCAAGAACCCCATGGCCCTAAACCCTCGAAGCGGCATGAACGCTTGTTGCTAAATATGGAAGCATTGGTATCCGCAACTGAAACCCAGCTCAATAAACAGCGACTTCTATTACCCAGCAGTCCTGGGAAAAGTGTGCCCCTTCTCCATTGTGCAACTTCACAGGCAAATCAAGCGAACAACTACAACAAGCACTACATACTGGGTCAGCCAGCTTACTTCTGACGAAGTCTCCTTAAAGCATGCACCTCCTAAGGCCCTCAAGTCCGCCCTAAACCCTAAACCCCCAAAGCCCTAAACCCCCAAAAGCCCTAAACCCTAAACGCGACCCTAAACCCCTGAGCCTCGTACGCTCCACCCAAAGCTGAACTGTAACGCAATGCAAAAGAGGCCAGAGACCCGAAATAATTACTGTAAACCCTCAACCCCTGAACAATGAACTCGGAACCCCCGGAACCCGGAAACCCCCGGAAACCTAAACCCCAAACCAAACCCTGAGCCCTAAGCCCTAAGCCGTGCACCCCGTAGCCCCACGCCTTGGGCAGCTCTGTCTCCCCCATCTAACCTGATATGGGAGTTTCCGAAAATAGGGGACCCAAATATAGCACCCTAAATAGTAGGATCCTTATTATAGGGACCCCAAAGTAAGGTACCCCTAATTTTTCGTGAACTCCCATGTTTGGAGGCTTGCAGGGCAAAGAGGTTCAGGGTTGCAGGGCTTAGGGTTTAGGGTTTAGAGGTTCAGAGCTTTGGGTTTAGGGTTTTAGGGTTTAGGGTTTAGGGGTTTAGGCCTTAGGGCTTAGAGCTTAGAGTTTAATTACGGCTTTGGGGGTTTAGGGGTTCGGGGCTTAAGGCCCTCAACCCAATAAATCAAACCTAAACCTTGACCTAGACCCCCAAACTACCCTTTATCGTAGCCCCAAACTACCTCTTATTACCTCTTAACGAGAAATACGTATTAGAGCCCTTTAACGGATAGGAGTCCCAAATCTTGAACCCCAAATTCTGAGCCCCAGACTCCCCCCCCCCCCCCCCAAGCACGCGCTATGGAAAGGCTGGAAGTCACCAGGGGGCTCGGAGCGATTCATATGGTGTAGGGTTTAGGGTTCACAGTTGAGGGTTTGGGGTTTAGGGTTTAGGGTTCACAGTTTAGGGTTTGGGGTTTAGGGTTTCGGGTTTAAGGGTTTAGGGTTTAGGGTCCACAGTTTAGGGTTTGGGGTTTAGGGGTTTCGGGTTTAAGGGTTTAGGGTTTAGGGTTTGGGGGTTTAGGGTTTCGGGTTTAAGGGTTTAGGGTTCACAGTTTAGGGTTTGGGGTTTTAGGATTAGGCTTTGGGGCTTAGCGTTGGTGCCGGAAGGTTGGAAACCCAAAATCCAAGGAGCAAAGACACTGCACCTAGATAATCAGAAACCAGTAGCTGGCAACTTACAGTACAAAGGAGACGTCCTCTATCCCTAAGCCCTGAATCCTTTAAACACCTTTAAACCCTAAACCCTAAACCCCGAAACCCTAAAAGGCAAACCACAAAACTCATGCACCCTAAACCCCTACACCCTATACCCCTAAGCCCTAAACCCTACTGAAATCAATCCCTGAACCTAACACGCCGACTAAAACCACCAACTAGGGCTCCAAAAAAGCACATAAGCAAAACATAGGATAGGGATATCCCATATAAACCCCCTTAAAATCTATCATAATGAAGCCCATTAAGGTAGGGATATCCCTATAAAATGCTTATGCTTAGGTGCTTTTTGGGGGGTCCCTACCAAACGTCCCCCGCCGGACCTTCGGCAGAAGCGGTCGACCCTCGGATTGCGAGGAGTCGGCTGCAAGCTGGAAACTTGAATTGAAAAGGGAGCCGGAAGGCTCTAGAAGCCCTGTTGTTGGGTTCTTGGGCTTAGGCTTTTCTTTGAGGGCCTGCTTGGGCTTAGGCTTTAGGGCACTTCAGGGTTTAGGGTTTAGGGGTTAGTCTTGCTCTTTTTGCTAAGGGCTGTTTTCCGTCTGCACTGGGGGAGCCGGGATTCAGTAGAGATTCTGGGGTCTAGGGTGTATGGGCTTTGGGTCTAGGTCCTTACTATTCGGGCTTGATAAGGCCGTAAAGGGTGCTCTAGTCTAAGTACACGCTTTACTGCTAAGAAATATGAATAGAAACCAGGCCACTGGGCCCCTGTAACACCAGGGTTTAGGGTTTAGGGTTTAGGGTTGAGGGCCTTGATCAACGTTTTCTTGCACAATTACTTTTACTATCCTCGTAGTCTTTCAGTCTAGTTCATGCAATGAAGTTGTATGCTCCATCTGCTACCACAAAACAAAGACAGCTGCGGCAGGGCGAGAAAGAACACGTCAAGGAGATAAAAACCCAAAAGAACTCCAGACCATCAGTATGAAACCCTACAGAACTCACTTAGGTACAAGAAACCCCTGAAGTCAAGGAGGATCTTGGCCGTCGCTCCAGGAAGAGCCCAAGTAAGACGCATGTAAGTGGCCCAAGCTGCGAGGCAGTCTATTGCAAAATGCCACGAGCACACCGAGCAAACCAACAGCCGTTAACCGTCGGAGAACAGAACGTACTTCTAAGCTAAACCTTACACCCGGATCCACAGCCCCTAATCCCTATAACCCCCTCCACGCAACATCTGCAGCCACGGCTACGCCGGCTTTGGACTGCCGGATGCTTCTACAAGGGCTACTTACGGCTTGCTTGCAGCCCCACAAGTTACAAAACAGTCCCTGACTCTAAACTAGACAGTAAAACATCACTAACAACAATAGGTTCGAGGGTGCTTGCAGCTACAGGTAGGGTCTAATTAGGCTGCAAGACTACCAAGAGGGTCATACCCTACCTTTCTTTTCGCGTACCTCAAGAAAGGGCTAGGGTATGAGCCTGTAGGTACTAGATCCTGAAACACCAGGGCTTCCCTCCTCTCAACAGGTGCCTAATCCGACGCATAGCCTCAGAGATCCCAATACCTCGTAATCAAGTTATATACCTTAACTTGTAGAGGCCTTCATATTAAAGGGAACTCCAGAAAGTTGGAATATGGTTTCAGGGTAGGATACCCTATAATTTACCATAAAGGGTTTAGGATAATCATATTCCAACTTTCTGGCTTTTACTCTATGATTTGAAGTATATTCCTTAATTAAGGGATATTGGGATCTCCTGGGCCTCGAGGAGGGGCTTTCAGTTTCGGGCTCCATGGCCCAACAAAATCTCCACCTGTCCAGGGTCTCCCAGCAAACTTCGAGTAAGGGCTTGGGGTTCAGGGGTAAATACATACATACATATATATATATATATATACGTATATATATATATATATATATATATATGTTTTTGAGATTCTCTCCTTCTGCGCCGATAAGCTCCTGCATACAAAATTCAGCAGAAACGTACATGTGCATATATGTACACATGCATACAGACAGACATACAAACATGCATGCATACACACGAACATGCATGCGTACATGCATGCATGCCGACCGACAGACAGACAGACAGACAGACAGACATGCAGATACGTGCCTATGATATTTGATACACTTTAAAATATCATACTACAGTATCGTGGCATAGAGCGACACAGTCCTAAAATTCAGGCCGGAAGACCTACCAAAAACCAAGCTTTGCAGCGCGCCTTTCTCGAACCGCAGGCTGCGAAGACTGCTGGTCGGTTTCTGTTGAACTATGCCCTCGTTCCGGCTTCCAACAAACACCATAATACAGGGGCCTTGATAGTTCGAATAGGATTTTGAGGGGTATATTATACTATAGTTATCATAAGGAACCCACCAGAATAGTATAGTGTGGCCATAGGGTTTAAACACCATATGGTTTAGGGCTTAAGGATTGAGATGGTTTAGTATAAAGCTTAGGGCCTGCAAACAAAAGCACTTGTGCGCGGGCTTCTACATCCCATGGGTAAGCTTGAAGTCCTACACCTAAACAGTATGTAGTAGTACAGGGGCCTTAATAGTCAGAATAGGGTTTTGGGCTATACTACATGATAATTACAGTAAGGAACCCCCAAAATAGTATAGCCTCCAACATCACCGGCCTGCATCATAAACCCGCAGCCCTACGCCCTGGCACCATGCGAGTCTCACACCTGAATCATCAACCTAGACCAGAACAACATAAAGGGAACCTTGGTGAACCCTCCACCCGAAAGCTCGAACCTCAGATGTCTTACATTGCCCTGTGCAGCAGCGAAATGTAGGGGGCGTTTGGTGGGCTGTATACTATGGGGCCATGGGGACTGAAAGGAAACATCCGTGCTCATCACATATCCCCCAGACCTCTACACTAATGAAAACATTAGAGTAGGGTTTTGCGGCATATTATACTATAGCTACAATGCAGCTATAACAAGGGACCCCCGAAAATAGTATTCTGCTAATTATTCAGGCTTCTATGTTAGGCTTCCGGTGTTGCGTTGGATCAAGCCGCGACTCTCTGCAAGAGCGCAGCCAAAAGCCTTTTGGAGCTGTGTACAAACACTATCGGCCTGCCTGTGCAAAAGTGGCTGTTCTGCGGTTTTACGGCACTCGGTTTTTCTTCGAGGGCTAAGTGGTTAGTGGCGCTACTGCGTGTGTCTGAACCTTACATGACCTACTTTGTCAAGGCTCCTGTTATGATTACCCTCAACCCTAAACCGAACCCCCTAAACCCTGAACCCTGATGCTGCAGCTTCTAGACTCAACCTGAGGCCCCAGAGAACTTACCTGTGTCGGGATAGAGCCTCCGTTCATATAAGAGGCTGGGGTTTAGGGTTCTCGGTTTAGGGTTAAGGGATCAAGGGCCCTTTACCATAACAAGTCAGGTTGCCTGGGGTCGGTTTAGGATACAGATCCCAGGGTTGCCCTGTCAAGCAACAGTCCAAGCCCTACCACTAGAAAAAAAAAAAAAAAAAGCGGAACTGTTGAAACTTGAGCAGGTGCTTCGGATTGGGGGTTCTACATCTCAATGTAGCTGAACAAGCTACATACATTCAGTGCTCGCCAATGTCTGGACGGGTTCCTGATGGAAATCCTCAGCAGAACCTACCATACCAAAGACTAACTTCCATTGGTCCCAGACAAAAACTCCTACTACACTAGTACAAGCTTCACGGGAGCTTTACCGACCAGGAATCTGCGGCAGAACCATCCCATCAGAAGGACCCATGACACAAGAGTGCATCACAGATTGAAACGAAGACTCCGAATCAAAAATGAACTACATACTCACGTATGGAGCAAGCAACGAAGAACCGCGGATTGAAACGAAACCAGTGTTAATCACCAATATGTCAGCGATCTCGAACCAGCAGCCCAGCCAGATCGTGAATGGTGTCAAAACCTCCCTATTCAGGAGCACCAGTGGGCTTCAGCAGTCGAAGCCGAGTGGCAAAAATTCTCATGCTCACAATGTATTCCTGTTCCTTCCGCCGCCCTACGGTTCAAGGTCCAGGGTTACATGACAACTACGTACATCAACTGTCGAATGATAGCCAAGTACGTAAGCCATGCAGAAATGAAACCAGTGATGTGACCACTGTCTTGCTTGCTCCCACG